TCAACTCCCAGCTTAGATCTGGGAGCGGTGTCTTAATCCATAGAAGTGATTCTGAGTGAAATTTGGTTTTATTTTGGGGGACAGCAATACTATATTGTGCTAAATTTTATCAATGGGGCTTGGTTAAGGGAAGATGAGTTGATGTGTCTTACCCAGACACCCAGGCGTGGGGAAGAGAGGATGAGTAGTTGGATCAGCTGGAATTGGTGTCACAGAAGGTGTATGTAAAGGTGGAGTAGTGAAGGCCTGGAAGCGGCATTGGGAGGGAAGGATGAAGCCACCTTTGCCCCAGAATGCTGCTGGGTCTGCAGAGCTCTGGAACCCAGCTGGGCTTCCATGATGGCAAGGACGGGGCCGGGGACACTCCTCGAGACTACGTATCCAGAGGTGTTTATGGTGCAGTGGTCACTTGAGAGGTCAGCAGGGGTAGGAGGCATCAGGGAGCCCACAGAGGTATGGGATGGAATGAGGTAGTGAGTACGTGGGCCCTGGGGTAGCAGTCATGGTTGCCAGTGCCATGAAGGTGGAGGCAAGAAGCAGAAATGGAGTAACTGGCCTTGGGGTCCTTAACGGTCATCTCATGTCTGCTGTTTTGTTGGCCCCAAGTGATGACCCAGACCAGTGATAGCACCTGTGATAGAAAGTACAGTTTTTGCTCAAGGTTCCAAAGATGACATTGGTGACAAGTTGGATCCTGGATCCCCCCCCTCTTTTTTTGCCATTTCATTTTAAAAGCAAAGGATAAAATTAGGCTTAATGTATTTTTTAACAGCTTTATTGCGATATAATTTACATACCATACAATTTGCCCTTTTAAAGTACACAATACAATGGCTTTTAGTATATTCAGGGTTGTGTACCCACCACTACCACAATCAATCTTAGAACATTTTCATCACCTCATGAAGAAACCCATCAGCAGCCACTCCCCACTGCCACCCCAGCCCTAAGCAACCACTAATGTACTTTCTGTCTCTATAGATTTGCCTATTCTGGGGTTTATATATAGATGGGACCTTCACTTTTTGAGGTGGCCAGCACCATAGGTCAGAGAAATTAGGCCTCTGAGAGACAGAACCTGCCTAGATGAGGACAGATCTGGAATCCAGGCGCCTGGTCCGGTGCTCTCTCTACATTGCTGTGAGAAAAGCATAAAGAAGCTTATATGAAGCCACGTGTGGATTCCTCTTTAGACAAGATTGGATGCGTTCAGGGTGGTATGGCTGTAGACATGGATTCCTTTTTTTCTAACTTTATTTTTTCCAATTTTATTTACATTTATTTTTGTGGGGTACAGTGTGTTGTATATGCATGTACTGCACAATTAATCACTTAGGGTAGATAGCATAGTTTTGTCTTTTCAAATGATCTGATTTAGCTGCATATTCCAGAGCCATTAATAGCTTTAATCCAAATTTTATCCAAATACAAGATTTTTTTTTTCTTTCTCCTAAGAGTGTTAAAAAATCTACTGTTAATGGAGAGATGTTTGGAGCTAAGCACTTTCCACCTGACCCTACCTTCGTGGCTGCCTTTCAAACTCTGTTGTCAGGCAGGGATGCATAAGAGTGAATGCCCCAGAGCCAGCCTGTCCAGGTTTGAACCCAGCCCTGCTCCTTCAACTGTGTGACCTTGGGCAAGTTACTTAACCTCTCTGTCTCGATTGCCTCTTCCCTAAAATGTGTATAAACATAATGCCTAGCTCATAAGATTATATGAGGATTAATGAGTTGATGCATCTACAATGTATGGAAAACTGCCTGGCAAATAATTACTGTGGGCATTAGCAATTAGTATTATTTGAGAATCTTAATTGTTGTTGAATTCCTGCTGGCCCTTATTTTTAGTTGGAGGTGGGGTGGGGAGTGTAAAGAGAGACTGATCCTTGTCAGGAAATATGTGTGCACACGACCTTGATGGTCTCCTCTGCTTGTTAATGCATGTCAATCTGAATTAGTGAATATGTAGGATTATGGAGTCTTCTCACTGAAGTCTAATTTCATTTTCAAGGCAAGATGATTTTGTCACTAGCAAACTTAAGTGTTTGCTTAAGCAGGACTTGTCATGGTTCTGTCTGCCCAGTTGTGCCAGTTCCTCAAGGTCCCTCTGGCTCCCATCCTGTGGCCTGCCTGGTCCTGACCAGGCTGACTCCTCTTTCCCCCACACCTGGTGGTTCTACACACAGAGTGCTTGCAGACAAATATAAAACAGTATATATAGAAAATGCTGAATTAAGTATATTTTGTCTGCCCAACACAATTAATAGCCTACTTCAAGAAAGTTTTCTTTTCTTGAATTTCCTATGAAACTTAGCACTGGGTATTCAATAGTAGCTACACCAAATTGAATCTTTAAAAAAAATCAGTTTGCTTACAAAGGATTTAAAATGCTTGTTCCCAAGTGTGTAAGCATTTTC